CTGATCATAGGCAAATATGCCCCAAACCCCTTGGAGACAACTTGGATACTTTCCTTGTGCATTTGATACACATTTTCTACCGCCATCTCTTTGAAATGAAGACTTTAGGGAGATGATTCTCATGAGAAGGGAAAAAGGAGCTATTTGGAAATTGGGCACAATTAAAAAAAAGTATCTTCCATACAAATCTTGGTAAAAAACCCTTAGCCATCTGAATTAGCCATAAGTAAATGAACTCATTCCATCTGCCAGAAACACAATTTGGATACAGCTGTTCTTTCACAAACTACTGAGTTGTGTGTTACTGTACCTGTTTCACAGTTAAATATGTTACAGTGATAGGTATAAGGTCTCTGTATCTGTTTATGTGTGTCTATGTATGTTATAGACATGCTATTTTTCTACCTCTAGATGGTATTGCCAAAATTAATTTGTAAACCAGCTCTACTTAATTGGCTCAGAAATAACTTCGTATATGAATTAAGCACTTGTAGACTTAGAAATATAGAAACAAACCCAAATGTTTTCCAAGTTCATGTGATCTGGGAAAATACTCAGTAAATACAAGCTAATTTAATTTGGTTTCATTGAAATAGGTATGTCTTCAGGGTTGTCAGCTTTGGATGTAATGCATACAACTTCTATTGTACCTGGTTTATTAGTCAAATGAGTTCATGTTATCTCTGTCACAAAACTTGTGAGCAAGAAAAATAACAGGATGATGGCCTTAATGTCTCATGAAATTTTTAGAAGTAATCTCAATACGATTAAGAACAAGTGAATTAAGTAGATTTAAGTGGGATTAAAGTTTATAAATGAAATTTTCCTAAGTTAAATGATGGGAATTCATTGGAATGTCTAAATTTCCAAATATGACAAAATACTGGAACATTACTGAATGTAGGTTTATCTGCTTTTGGCTTAATATGGAGAAACTAAACATATTTGGGTCTATTAGTAAACATCTTGTACCACATTGAAAAATTGTACTATGAAGCAGCATATGCTTCTAGAAATTAGGAAATGTATTCATAAATTTGCCAAACTACAGTTGATAAGGGCTTAGTTCTAGAAATTAAGGTTTCAGAGGGTTGGGAATACTAGTTAACATACGTAATTCAAACTACTAGAAATAGTAAGGAAAACCTCTGCATGCAAAGAAAGTAAGATGTGGTTTGGTTTAAGAAAACGTATGAGGTACAAAGATGCATTTTTGTTATAGGAAAGAGAAGTTGTGTCTTAGAGTAGAACGAGTGGTTTCAGAAAAGGAAAGAGGAGAGTAAGGGAAAAATAATTGGATATAGAAAGTTGGAAAGAGAGAAAACCTTGTGTAATTAAGCTAGCTAAAATGGAATGAATTCATAAATGTGTAAAGATAAACTTTACTATCAATAGTATACTCATGTCAAACTAGAACTTAGTTTTCTTCCGTCTGCTGAAGGTGTAACTGAACCAACTTGAGTGAGCCTTGGTCAGTCACAACAAACACTACCCCAGGTTGGGTTGTCGCACAAAGTAAAAATTATTTGCAGCAAGAAAGGAGTTCATGGGGAATAATCTCCAAAACTGTGATTCCCTGAGCAAGGGTGGATGAGTTCCTTTTATTTAGGGTCAGGAATATTTTAAAAAGGGTATCTCTTGGGGGCAGGGCACCTGAGTGGCTCAGTCGGTTAAGTATCAGACTCTTGATCGGCTCAGGTCATGATCTCAGGGTCGTGAGATTGAGCCCCACATCAGGCTCTGCGCTGGGCATGGAACCTGCCTCAGATACTCTCTCTCCTCTCCCCCTTCCCCAGCTCGTGGGCAAGTGCTCACTTGCTCTCTCAAAAAAAAAAAAAAAAAATCCTCTAAAAGCGATCTCTTGCCATCATATGTGGAGACTGGCATGAGATCCTTCATGCACCTTTAGGAAAGGTTCCTATGCTACACTGTATGTTATGTAAAGGAGGCTTGTGCTCCTTGTTAGGTGGAGAGCTTAGTATTACAAGGAGGTAAAGGTAGTTGTTGGTCACTCTAGAGGTCCATCTGTGCAGGTGCGAGCCAGGGGTTAAATTCAAACTGGTCTGGGTGGTCGGGCCTGCTGGAGGTCGGATCGAGGCTGTTGCTGAGCTGTTGCCCGAGGCGTGGTTTCGGTTTCCATCCGCCTGAGTTGAGACAAACTGGAAAGAAAAGCCTCCGGGAAAAGGAGGACAAAGGTCGGTGAGTCCACGCGAGGGGGCGGTAAAGGTCAGGCCTGTGGGGCCTGGCTGGTAACGAAAGGACAGAGTTCTCTCAGACTCTTCTTTGGTCTGCTCCTGAGAAAAAACTGTGAAAGGTTTTTCTCTACTTTTAAGCAAGCTGTCTAGAAAGCAAAAGACTTTGTGTTTTACTGAACTAATTCCCTGTTATCTTTATCATCAGGTCTTTGATCACTTAAGAAAACCACAGGTCTTCCCAGTATTAAGAGCCAAGTTTCACTGACAGCTATGTAACCTGTATTTGCCTTTAAAATCTTTTCACTTCGGTTAAAATAGGTAATCAAGTATTGTTTCTTAATTCTAGTCAGGTGTTCAAAACTATTGATATTTTTGAAAAGCTGAAACTCAAATTCTAAATGAAGTCTTTTCGACCGTGAACTAACTAGGGATGTTCCAGAGGGCCCCTGGAACATCTCAAGATTGGTCTTCTTGCAAGAAGAGCTATTCAACTAGACTTGGGAAGCACTCGCTTCCAATAAACCACATTTAAAAGAGTGTAAAGGGCCAATCACTATTCTTGTTACGTAAAAAATCAGGCCACGTGTAATTTTATTATCTTTGGTAGAAGTGGGGATGTTTACAGAGAAAGATGATGCTTCAGTGGAAATGCACCCTTGTGGATATCAGATTCTAGTTGTGTTGTCTGAGGTTTCATTATTTACCTGTAAATGGACTTAATCCTGAATTCTTCGTTTCCTCCTATAACCTTGCCTATAGACCTCTTCAAACGTTTCCAATTTTCCTCTACTTTTTTTTGACTTGGAATCACTAAAAACAAACTGCATGAAATTCCTAGAAATGTGATATGTCCTGGTGTAATGTTAGCACTTAGAATTCTAGTTATCTTAAAACGTAGGTCACAGAAGTAACCAGATGTCCTTGTCAGCTGCATTATAGCGAACTCCCATCAGATCTTTGATGATGGCCATTTTGTAAGTCTTTTGTCATTTACAGAAGTTATTTCAGTTTCTCAAAAGTGTGGCACCAGGCCCTGCAAACTGTGAACAACTTGATATCAACTCCACAGAAATACCACAGTAGCCCATGTTTACAGTTTTGTGGGCCTTGTGGGCCAGAGTTTATGACAAAGACATTCAAAGACATTCATACTGCAAAAGGTCCTTTGACTTAACATGTAGAAATCTTCTGACTGGCTGCCCTCAGGACTGAAATTTAGTGTAAAATTTGTTCCAGCCACTACCCTTTTCCTTTTAGCCCCCCATAGAAATGCTTATGAAATCCCTGCTTGCACTGTAGACGTCTAACTGGGCTACCACCTGCCCCGCCCCCTCCTGAAGTGAGACACAGCTTTTTAACCAACCTGAGACTGGTTCAGTGAAACTATAGAACAATCTCTCAATCCACTCAGCTTTTGGGCTGTGAAAGTAATTTGAAGTTTCAAAGGCAGAGCCCAAGGGGAACAGACCATAGCACCCCAAAATATGCCTCTTTGGCGTAAGGATTATTTTGAGCTAATTAAGGAACAGGAGATCCAGCAAAAGCTCTGAAAACCTAGCAAGAGCTACCCTTTCATGAGGGAAATTTACATGTATAAGTGAAATCTATTTGTTAGGATGTAGAGGTCTCCTTTTTCTGGTACAGAGAGGGACAGACCCTTACAGACACCCTTACTCACCTCTCAATAGGTGATTCCTCCTCCCCCAACATCTTGAGCTGAAGAAGGTACTCAAGGGGAGGGCCTGGCCTATAGGGAAGTTACTCAGTTCTCTGGGTATCTCTCCTGTATACAGAGGCATACATATTATTAAACTAGGGTGGTTCTCCCCCCCCCCCCGTTAATCTGTTTTGTTTGGGGGTCTCAGCCAGGAACCTAGAAGGTAAGAGGAAATTTATTTTTCCTCCCCTCCAAGGACATTTACAAAGTTTGAGTTAGAAAAATGCTGTGACTTTCCTAGTTTATATCAACCATGAGCACAAAGAAACACAACATAATCCATTGCTGATGGCCGAATGGTATATTCATCGCCTCCTCCGAGGAGCATACATGTTTCAGCCAGCCAATCTGTGGTGGCCATCAGAACTTTGGCAGGGGTTACATTACATTTGTTAAACAATTTAGACTTTTAGCCATTTCAGAAGTTTACAAGACTTGGTCATATATATATATAAAACACACTTTTTTTCCACCAATACAACTTAATATGCTGTCTAGAGCCCATTTATGTCAACTTTGGCTGCATGGTAATCAAATTGTGGCAAAACTAAGATACATTGATGATATCATTAATTTGGCTTAAGAAATAAACACAAAGTTTGATGGCATGTAAAATGCATACTTCAGCATGAAGAGAAAGTTTAAAATCTCTAAATTACAAGATTTAATAAAAAGCTTCAAACCCATTAACTTTAAAAAAAACAAAAATACCACCCAAGTTAATCCTAGAGGTCTCAAGTCATGATCTATAAATTAACAGACCCCTCTGTTACAGGATGTGTTAAGGACTATTAAACACACTTTAACTTAAAACAACAACACAGTAAATCACAGTGGCTTTTAAAAATTCTGTAAAATATCAAATTAAAAACTTAAAATCTCATAACCAAAAGTTAAGAAAAGAAATATAAAAACAATTTAGAAATAAAGACTTTGAAAAAGTTGGCTAAACAAAATATCTCACGAAGTCCACCACCTGTCCCTGGGGCCTGCATGGCGGGTGGGTGATGTCACAAGCACTGGCAAATAAAACGGGAGGAGCTTGCAAATCCTGTCCTCTGGGAGGGGTGAGGGGTGGGCAGCAGCTTCTAAACCAGGTTGAATTCCCTCAGGTTGAGTTGGAGAATTGTGTCCTTCACAGCAGCGAACACAAAGCGGATATTCTCCGTGTCTGTAGCACATGTGAAGTGAGAATAGATGACTTTCTCTTTGTCAGGATTCTGATCTTGATAGAGCTTCAGGATAAAGTCTCTGGCGGCTTTGACATCCTGCTTCGGTCCTAGTCAAGAGTGCAGTTACAGGAATAAAGAAGAAAGCTACTAACCCCTGGGTCCTCCCCAAAATCAGTTTCAGTATACTCCTATTCTTACTTGGAATCCTTTTTTGAGTTCTTATTCCTAGAGAAGAGCTTACCTGGGGTGTGAACTTTTATTAGAGCTCATCATGAACCCGTAAACGAGATATTTTAAAATGTCCACTGCTATCTAAAAAGTGTACGTTAAAGCACTTTGTTGAAAAAACGGTGACCCAATTTAATGTTCTGGTTTGGGCTCTCACCACATGGCTGATGCAGTTAATAAAAGGAAAGGGGGTGCTAAAACAGCACTCTAAAATATCAGTATCAAACTTGCTGATATTTGAGACCTCCTGTACCAGAAATAATTAGCATCAGGACATAAGCTTTCCAGCCTGGGATCGGTCCTATATCTACAAACTTCAGTGTCTACCGTGTGCCTGGAAAGGGGTCTGTCACACTAAGCTACTCACAGAAGGAGCAGGTACTCTGCTGGAGATGGGGGGAGGCACAGCTAGGCAAGGCAGAGGCTTGTGCTCCAGAGTGAGGAAGGCCAAGGGAGCACACAGGAGGCACAGCCGAGTGCAGGTGAGGGTGCAGGGCATGTGAGCAGGACGAGTTGTTGTTTCCATAGGGGCTGGCATGTGTGGAGGTGCTGAGGCAACAACAGAGTCATGCACCTGGAGCTTCCCTGAGAAAGTCTGTTCCAGGCAGATCAGGGACGCCCCTGAGGCCATGTCAGTAATGCCGGCCCGTGGCCAGGGAGGTCAGCAAGAGGGACACTTACCTGTGTATTCTGGAAAGTAGCTAATTAGATGAGAGTACATGATTTTCTCCTCCAAAAGATCCTTCTTATTTAAGAACAAAATCACAGACGAGTTCAGAAACCAGGGGTAGGTTATAATGGTTTTAAATAAGGCTTTGCTCTCCTCCATGCGGTTCTAAGTGCGAAACAAGGCACTTAGGGTTAATAAAGAAAAACAATACTTTGGAAGCGACAGGCCAAATCGCTGCTTCCACCCATGTGTCCCCTCACCCAGCTGCTGGCTCCACACAGTTCTCCATGCTGAAGCTGGTGAGCAGAGGGGCCCCCCCAGGACACCAGGCCTCCTGTTTCTATTTCCCTCCCTTCCTTTCTGGCTCTGTTCTCCTGCAGCACCCCAAATAAACACATAAGAAAGGCTTTTGTGAAACTTGGAAAAAGGTTCATACCTATATTTGACAAAGTTTTCTGTTTAATTGTTGGGGTTACCAAGTAGGGAAAGTGCATAACTTGGGCCCGAGACACTCACTTTAATTGGGGGTGGGCTTCCAGACCACAGGAGGAAGGCTGCTCGAGCACAGCCACTGTCCAGAGGAAGGCTGGGCATTGGAGAGCAGGGGACTGACACTGCTGAGCGCCTTTCCTGCGCCACACGTTACAGGTGGGTAATACGGGCGAGGTCTGCTAGGGGAACAGGGTCCCCATTTTATGGATGAACATACTAGTGTTCGTAAATTTAAATGAATTCCCAAGCCCATGTAATAATAGGATCTGGTCAAAATTATGTAGAAAAAGTAAAAATTTCTTACCATTAGTCACTGGCAAGAATATATCAAATGTTCTAATTTAGGGAAAATAGGGCACATACAAATCTTAATCTGGTGACAATAATTGTTCTAGGTGGCACCTTTTTAATAAGGTATTTTTAAAGTAAGCTCTACAGAGCCCACCGTGGGGCTTGAACTCATGACTCTGAGATCAAGGGTCACATGCCCCATGGACTGAGCTGGCCACACTGCCCCTGCTCTCAAGTATTTCTAAGAGTTAAGAAACAAGAACTTCCCTTTATAAAGGGCAATGGTCAGACAAAAACATGAAAGCTTTGCACCCTGCTCAGAGGGACATGCCATAAACCTGTTTCCCTACGACCTCTGCATACCTGGGCCCATTCTCCTATTCAGTACATTTTTGGCAATCAAGATCTGGAATTTATTTACCAGACAGGTAACCCCTCAGTTTTTAAAGCTTTAAAAAAAATTTATGGTCTTATCAATAATCTGCAAGGAAGTTGACCTTTGAACACCACAGGAGTTAGGGGGCTGATTGCCTGGCATAGTCGAAAATGTGCATATAACTTTTGACTCCCCCAAAATTTAACTACTAATACCCTGTTGACCAGAGTCTCACCAATAACAACACATATTTTGTATGTTATGGATGTTATATACCATATTCTTACACTAAAGCTGGAGAAAAAAAATGTTACAAGGAAAATACCCGTACTGTACCGTATTTATCAGAAAAAAAGCTCACGTGTAAGTGGACACATGAAGGTCAAACCTGTGTTGTTCAAGGGTCAACTGTACATGAAAAAACAATTCCTGTAAGTCCAGAGAGTGGACACAACATGTATGTACACCCAGGACAAGTCTGGAGTGGAATTCCTCTCCAGATATCTTGTGATTTTTAGGAGAGGAGAAAATGTCTAATTTGTAAGCATACTGGGTTGAGGCACTGGTCCTTTGTGCCCCTGAGTCATCTTTTGAGCTTCCCGAGAAACATCAGTAAGTAATCCTGAGAGAAATTTGGACCTCATTTTTCATATTGATAACCTGAAGCCTTTGCTTTAAAAAAAAAAAAAAAATGTCCCTCGTGGAAGAGCTGGGTGGCAGCCAAGATTGCTGTTCTTCTTTGCACAATGACACTAGTAAATGGGTTAATCCTCCACTAATTAGCTACTGTGACTCTGCTCCTCAGAGAAAGGCCTGCTCTCAAGAAATACAAGATATAATTTGCTCATAGTTACTGTCTAATCCTGGGCAGAGTTCTTTACTGGTTTACTACCATGACCTAGAAGGAAGAGACACTTTTCTATGAGGTCAGGATGTCTCGTGCAAGGCTGGGGAAAAGACAAGGGGAAGACAGTGGTGTCCCACAGAACACAGCCCCACGTCAAAGAGAAGTGACAGTGACCGCTATCTTCACTCTCTGGGCAGATGTGGTTAATGCAGTTCCACACAGCTAGCCCTAGGGCAACCCTGCAGAGGACATGGAATGCCTGACCAGGGTGGGTCAGAATATCTCTAAGCATCTGACACCACTCCTCCTGTCAACTCAGGGACCTAATTTGGGAGCACCCTGGAGAGAGGTTAGGAAGCCTGTTCCCAGGTATTTATGAGAAAGAGCATTGCTCAACTTTGGCTGTGCGTGAGCACCTCTGAGGGGCTTGGGGAAAATACCCCTGACTCAAACCGAAGAAATACGAGTTTCTACTGGGAGGTCCAAAAGATGGTCTTTTTTAGAAACTCCCCAGGGGATTCCAATATGCAGCCAAGACTGAGAACCCTATGCTTTTGGGTGGCCCCACCTGAGATTAGATCCCAGGCTCAGCCCACCCCCACCCCAACTAAATCAGAATCTGGAGTTGGACCCACATGCCAGGTCTCTCTTTAAAGATCCTACTTTGAGAACCAGGTTCCAGGCCAGTGATTGTCAAACTTTCATGTGTATTTGAATTACCTGGAATCTTGTTAAAATACAAGTTCTGATTTATTCCGTGTAGGTCGATTGACTAGGCATGCATTTCTAACAAGCGCGCAGATGATGCAGGTTCTGCTAATTCCAGAAACTGCACTTTGAATAGCAGGACCGTTGAACCTAAAGAATACTGTCTAACGCCAGGGCAGGCTAGCTTCTTGCAAACTGCAGACGTGGGTTTCTGTTTTCCACAGCTACCCCTCCCCACCCAGCATACCTCGTTGTCACACTCAGCCAGGACCTGGTCATATTCACTCAGAGCAACCAAAAAAATAATGGAGGTGACACTTTCAAAGCAATGAATCCATTTCCGTCTTTCAGATCGCTGGCCACCAACATCTACCATCCTGTTCGACAGAAACACAGAACATTCAAAGGTTGGGATACATGGCTCTTTGGAGGAGGACAGGCATCATCATATGGTGGGAATCCGCACTCCTAAGGTCCTCAATTTTTTAGAGGTGAAAAGGGGTCTTAAGATGCCCATGTTTGAACACCGCTGCTTTCGGCAGAGAGGAACCCTGGGTGTTAGCAAAGGAGGCACATAGTGTAAGTAAAGTTACTAAAGACGGGTGCAGGGGTGACTCCAGGGGAGCAGCATGCTCGGGGACACTGGTTTGGAAGCTGCTGCATTAGTCCAGGCAGAAAGCACAAGCATCCACGTAGGTGTCGCGCTAACCACTGTCGAGTGCCGGACGCCAGACACGCGAGGGGCAGAGAGGTGGGCAGTCCCCCAGGCCCACGGGCTGCCTCCAGCCCCCCCCCCCGGCCTGTTTCTCACCGCTCCTCAGACTTAGCCACAAGTCCTTTCCACATTACGTGGGCGCCACCCCTTCTGGCCTATAAAGACCTGCAAGTGACCTCCATCATCTGTGGCAATCCAAAGGCTCTATCTGGGGCTTTGGGGAGAGACTTAAGAGAGTCCTAGCCCAAAGACGGCTCAGAAGCTCCAACGCTGCAGGAGGCAGGCAGTTTGTGGAAATAAGTCAAGTGGGCCTATCCAAAGTAGAACGGCAGGCAACTTCAAGAACACTAGGGGCCCCGTCCAGAGGGTGGACTGCAGGGCGGCTGTAGCCAAGCCCTGCTGGACAGACGTGTAGGCATGCCAGACCAGCCCCTCAACCTTTCAAGAGAAACTAGGTATCAAATGTTCTAAGCAAAATGGACCAATTCTTGAATACTGGCTCAAAAGGGGCTTAAAAAACACCAAGTGGGCCAAACACATCTGTGGAACCAATTCAGGGTTCGGACGTAGCAAGCAGGACTGATTCTGAACAGGTCACGGTCATACATTCATGGGCACCCGGATGCAGATTTTCAAGGGGCTCGACCAGAGGGCTCCCCAGTGCCACAACGCTCCGGAGGCGGAATCGGATTTACAGACAGGCCCTGGTTGTGGCAGGACTGGACCTGCGTCTTCTTGACTAGAAAAGCATAATGCAGTAACTCTGACGAGGAACAAGGAAACTAATGCATATAAAAGTGCTTTAAAACTTGCAGTGCTGGGCATAAGTACCATATTCTCCTTTTTCTGCCATAATTAAATGCAGTGAGGATCTACTTAAGTCATCCTAAAAGTACTTCTTATATTTGTGTGTGGAAATTCATACATTTTTTACACAACTGTATATAGTTGATGTTATCTTACATAATTAATACACTTTTGTACTGATGGTTAGTTTTTTTATTTTTATGGATAGATGCTACAGAAGGGACTATAGGGAAGAATAATATTCAAGTTTAGGGAAAAGGCATCAGTATTTTCAATGTGCGTGTGTGTGTGTGTTTTACATCTAAGGGTTCCAGACTTCAGTAAGGAGACTGTTCTGTTCTAAGGGGAATAGGAAGGTGAGTTCCTCTTCATTCCAGGACTTGAGACCTCCCGAAATGTTAAACACTCCGTGATGGAGAGGCCCATATGGCTCTGGGAGATAGAACGCTTTGAGGCATAACACACTTAAGAATCCCTCCCAGGACTTCCAAGGCCACACAGATTCCGATGGACCGTGTCAGGGAGACAGTCTTACCGAAAGATGATGTTTTCCAAGTCAAACGGATACTCAATGATGCCGGTGGTGGGCACTCGGACGCGAAGCACGTCTTGCTGTGTTGGCACGAATGACGGCATGGCGATCCGGTCAATGTCAGTCAGGTAACTGCGACACCAGACAGCAAGGCACCAAGACTCGTTTTAGACACCGGAGAAACGTCCCACTCCAGGGAAGTCACCCAAACTCACAGCGCCCCCTCTCAGGTTCGTGGATTCCATCAGTGACTTTCTTGAGAGCTGGCACTGGACCAGGTTTCCCCCCTGCCCCACAATGGTGAGTGTTTGGGAGAGAATATGGATCAGAAGCTTCCATGAGCCCTCTGGGAAATCCGGGAATAATGCCATTTCTTTTTCCGGGCTCTAAGCTTTCTCTCTCCCTGGCCAGTGAAGGAGCCAACGGGTCAGAAGGAAAGGATGTTGGGATCCGGTCTGTGACCTCTCAGCCACCTTCCTCCCTCAAAGCTCCCCCTCAACACACACACACACACATCCCCACCCACGAACATTACAGAACGCAGATGCTGTTCTCGAAGGCTTTGCTCAATGAATTCGAGTTTCTATGAGAATATAAAGGTATAAAACAGGCCAACTCAGAGCTCTTTCAAAATAACAAGAAAAAGTTTACTGTTTGTTGGGACATTAAACATCTAAAATCAGCCAAGGCTTGTCTTGGATTATTTCTGGCTCCACAGTAAACTCTTAAGCTGGAAACAAACCACTTTTTCTGTTTTCTTGGGGTTTTTTGTTTGTTTTACTTTAAGGCCTTGATACTAGGCATTTTTGAGTAAAAGACCTGTAACGCAGGCCCAGGCCAACGATGGAGGGGGTGCTTCGGGGCATCCCGCACAGCGAGGCTTGGCCCCGCCCCCTCCCTGCCAGGGACTGCAGTGCCCAGCAGGTGGCAGGAGCCGGAGCTCAGGGAGGCAGGCAGACCGTATTCCTCGTGCAGCCCTCTGTCGGAGTGTCTGTCGCTGGAGGACAGAGCACAGGCTGGCCCACAGCAGCACACATTGAGTTCTGGTGAAATGAATGTCTGTCCCAATAAGTAAACAGTCCTGGCACAGCAGATGACACCTGTGCACCTGGTCCGAGTCAGCTCAGCAGCTCTGGCAGTGGGGCAGCTGCTCGTGCCGGAGCGCCACCGTCTTGGGGGCAGCGTGGTCCCCCTAGCCATTCCCTATGTGCCTCTTGGTGCACGAGTCCCAGCTTGCAGGGCTCCACCGAGCTTCCCAACAGCTCCAGGGGGCTCTTCCAAATGGATCTACAAGAGCCCCGGCCACTCCCCAGAACATTCACAGAAGCAAAGGACACTAGGGGGGTCTCAGGGAAGGGCAGAGATGGCCTCAGGAACTTCGAGTTGTCGCTGGGTCCCCAGCTGTCCACTGCTGTCTGCCCTCCTCCCTGGGACACTGCCTTCCTTCCCTCTGGCTTTTTCCTGAGCTGCCCCCATACCTTCTCTGGGCTTCTTTTTATTTCCTTTTCTTACTTGGCTGCCCTACTGCATCTAAACGTTTAGATGCATCTAAACGTCCCTGCACTCAGATTGGTTATGCCAACCTGGGGCAACAGCCCGAAACACTCAGCCTGGCACTAGCGCCAAAGGGAGGCCGTTGGAACGGGAGGTGAGATTTCAGGGTTCCTCTCCTGCCCACTGGCTTGTCCAGACAATCGGGGTAAACCACCTACCCACACCTGTTTGGAGGGCAACAGCAACACCCCAAGGGAAGGGGACGGGATTCTGGGGCTCTGAGAGGCTGGGGGAGGACTCGGAGCAACGGGGGAAGAGCTGAGCTGCAGAAGCAGGAAGAACCGCCTCTTCAAGCAGAACATGACCAGTCTGTGTGTCCAGTGACCTAACTGATGGAGACACTGCCTCCGGAAATTCTGAAGACAATGAAATTCTGTGATCACCATGGGATAATTTGCATGCAGAACCATCTATTTCATCTTACCTTAGGAATTAATGATTTAAAACTAGAGCTTTATGAACCAAAACTAAAGCGCAGAGGCCTTCCCAGGGAGTCAATAAGCAAAGGGCTTGTGGACTGAGCTTCCTCCCTGTGCTGGGATTGCAGAACCTGTCTTGCCCACCAGAGGGCAGCACGAGATCAGCCACTGGAGCGGGTCTCTTGCCTGGCTGGTCGAAACTCCGATTCTAGATTTGAGGGCAATTGATTCTGCTGTCTGCTGATGAGACCAGAAGGCAGAGGGATATGGAGAAGAGGAAAGGAGAAGCCAGAGGCAGTGGTAGTCCTTATTCAAGTCAGAAGATTTCAGCACCCCAGATGAGATAAGCTCCCTCCAAGGAACCCCACATTTGATTGAGCTTCTCGTTGAAGCAGAGAGGCTTAGAACACAACGAGGAAAAGTGGGTATGGGCAAGGACAGAGATCTGGGGGTCCACAGTTTTTAGGAAGCGGTAAGAGACACATCAAGGAGTCACGGGGGGGATAGTGACAAGCAGGAAAGAGATAGTGTTTATAGGCAGTTACTTTCTCCCCAGTGAGAAGCTTCTCTGAAGCGTGGACAACGTGTGCCTGGGCTCAACACTCACTATTTGGCCGAGTCCGACAGCTGGTACTCCCTTCTCCTGTCGTAACACTCCTGGATTCCTGGGTCCTGCCAGAGCTGCCTGATGGCCTCCACCTGGTCCCTGGACAGGGCGCAGACCTTGTCCACTTCCACTTCCTTGATTAGCTGGGCATTTTCCTGCACGAAGGAAAGAGAACCTGTCACTGGGCGAAGGAAAGGAAGCCAGCCCGTTGGTGACTTGGGGGACAAGACCTCCCCCAGGCTGTGGATGAGGGACGATCTCCACTCACAGGCCAGCCACCAGCAGTGCCGACGATGTGGCCGCTTCACTCAGGGAGAGCCACAGAGAGACCGTGACCTGACCTGCGGGTTTTAGTCCCATCAGCCCCCGGGGGCCAGTGCCACTGGCATTCGGCACCCAGTGGTGAACAGAGAAACCCAAGAGCCATGGATCATCACTGTCCTTTGAACATCTGCATGGTAGGCGGAGCAACTTGAAAAGAACCGTTTTTATTGCCCTGGCATCCTAGGGCAGGGGGTGGTGGAGGAAGCAGGTCTGCCTTGATGCAGCAGCAAGGGAGGGCCTGGGCTTCAGAGGGCACACAAACACTAAATCACCAGCTAGCTGTGCCGGCTGGCTTGCTTTTGTTTTTTTTTTCTTAATATAACTTAGTAGACTTTATTTCTTAGATCAGTTTTTTTAATATAACTTAGTAGGCTTATTTATCATCAGACATCACAGATAAAACTCCTTCCCATTTGGAGAGCCACTCCCATTGCAAGCCCCGCCCCAATTATTGCTGTATTTGTCATTGCTATCATTCAATAACTATTGCTGTAATACTACGGCCCCATTATTACAGTACTTAAGATTATTGCTGTAATTATTACTATTCAGTCAGTTACCATTTATTGCCCACTTCCTGTGTGCCAAGAGGTATACACACCTTATCTCATTTAATCAATGTAAGGCTAGCACGGGGCCAGAAATCTTGCCAAACCTTAGCAAATGAAAATGATATGGTTGGCTTACATCCTCAACATGTCCATGTGTTGGCCACGGAGATCCAACATCCCGTCCCTTGGCTGCAAGTTGCACAGACAATGGAATCCTGCTGAGAGACAGACAGGAATCCGACCTCTCCTTCGCTCCCCCATCCTGCCACACGCAGAGCTGGCTATTCACTCGGCCCTGTGAGTCAGCAAAGCATCCGTGTGGTGGCTGTGATCTGCTTGTGTGTATATGCTACTCCCTGAAAAGTTGCTCATATCTTGTATTATTCATCCTCATTAACAATCCAACAGGAAGCTGGAGAAAATGGAGAGCTTAGAGATTTACTGGACTCGGGGCAAAACCGAAGGCCGTGTGAGCCCCTATCCATCAAGAGTGGCTATTAACTCTTCCCCCTGGACTGTGGGATCCTCGGCAGGGAGAGGATCCCAGTTGCAGAATCTCAAACAGGTCTAGGCAGCGTGGGTTCCCACTTCCAGTGGGAAGTGCCCTGGACCAGGAATAAGGACCCTGAGTTCTGGTGCATTTGGGACTTTGAAGGACCCCAACCCCAATAGTTCCCTATCTCCGCATCCTCATTTGTAAAAGGAGCCAGTGATTTTCAAGGTATCTGATTTATCAATTATAAAGTTTCATCTAAACGTAAGCAAAATTGGCATTATTGTGGCAGATGCCTAATATTTGTTGGCAAAAAGAGGACACATGGTTGGCCTTGCAGCCATGACTTCGAAGCCCGCCCACGAGCACATTCTGCATCACCTGCCCTACTGTAAGCCAGAGAGAGCACAGCCCAGAAAACCCAGACAGTGCGCGCGGAGCCGCGGGACTGTCTTCCTGCTGCTGCTCTCCCTGCATCCCGCCGCCCTCTTCCTCCCCAATATGAGCAGATGGTCTCTCCCCACCCTGGGCTTGGCTCTACCCTCCGCATTGAAAGATCTGTTTTCTTCCCTGTCTTCGCTCCCGAGATCCCAGAACCTAGTGCAGCGCCCGGTGGCGCGGGCAGCCCGCAAACATGCCGCACATACGCGCATCTATCATTCTAACACACAGACCATCTGCAGAAATAACAGCCAGAGAACATGAGGGCAGGATGACGGCAGCCTGAGCCGGTCACAGTGAGAGCCCAGAGCAGCTCGAGGACAGGAAAGTCTCTCCAGGAGGAAATGCTCTGGGACTTTTAGCCAACCTGTCTTCCTGCCCCTGGTAGCAGGCAGAATCCTTGCTTCTGGGGTGCTGGCCTCTCATGCTGCTCTCCTATGACTTTTTTTAAAACTTACTTTTGTAAAGTACTCTCTACACCCAGAGTGGGGCTCGAACTCATGACCCTGAGACCAAGAGTCAGCAGCTCCACTGACTGAGCCAGGCTGGCGGCCCCTAAACACAACGATTATATTCAGCTCACCTGCTGAGAGGCGGCCCCATGAGTCACTGGGATGTTACAAACATTCCCACCTCCCCTCTTCACAGACGCCAGGTAGGGTTGTACTTCACGGTGAGTGAAACAGCAGTGGAAACATTTGTCTCTTTCAGGAAGAAACTTTAATGAGCCAATGAGTCATTTACCACCTTCCCTTTCATCTGCTGCAGTGCTTGTCATGAGACAAGATGGAGTCTCAATCAGCCAGGCTTCCTGAGCGAGTACAATGTGCAGAGACACCCCGACACACCATCCTGCATACCAAGGATGAGTGAGAAATCATCTTTCATTGTGTTAAGCTGAACTCTGAGGGCAGTTTGTTCCTGCAGCATAACCTACTCTATCCTGCTACATGTTGAAATGGGTAAACCCAGTATTCGACTCTTCCAGGAGAGAGAAAATGTGGATCCCAGGGAGGTATCCCAGAAGAATGCAGGCTTCTCCATGGGGACCCAGGGGGTGGAGGCTGGGGAAAGACAACCCTGCGCTTTCAGGTAACCAGGGGGGCTTAGCCAGGAGAGCAACATCCAGTGACTGTTCAGCCAGGTGAGGGGACAATGGAACGGACTCTGGCTTGAAGCAAGAGGGGACCACAGTCTCCTTAGAAACCCAACAATTGGGAACTGGGTTTGGAACCTATTGAATTCAAGGAGCCCAGAAGTAGTCCAAGTTTAGAGTTCTCTTCCCAGCTGGATCTCCCACCTGTCAAGATCATTCTTTTTAAGATTTTAAAATCATTTTTTTAAAGATTTATTTATTTATTTGAGAGAGCGAGAATGAGAGAGAGGGGGGAGGGTTAGAGGGAGAAGCAGACTTCCCACTGTGCAGGGAGCCCGATGTGAGACTTGATCCCGGGACTCCAGGATCATGACCTGAGCCAAAGGCAGACACTTAACCAACTGAGCCACCCAGGCGCCCCAAGATTTTAAAATCATTTAAGACTTGCAAAAATGTGGGGGAAATGGTACAAGAGTTCCTCTCTGCCTTTCAAGATTGCCCAAATGTTGACCATTTATGACCATGCCATATCATCTATTCCCTCTCCCTCCAAATGCATGCGAGAGACATGCACACACAACTTCTGCCTGAAATATTTGCAAGGAAGTCGCAGACATGGTACCTCTTTATCACTGAAGACTTCAGTGTGATTTCCCAAAAATCCGACACTGGACTGTAAAATCACCGGATAATGACCAAAATCAAGAAACTAACATTGACACAATATTGCAGTCTCATCCTGAGACCTCATGTCACGTTCGTCAGTGGTCCCCTTATTGCCCTTTATCTGCCCCATCTAGGGTCACAAAATGCATTTACTTGCCTCTCTGTGATCTCTATCTATGTGGAAAGGTTCTGTGGTCAGAAGTTGCTTGGTCACCCTGATCAAGAACGGCCTGAGAAATGAGGCGGGCTGGTAGGGAGCGTGGCACAGCCCCAGAGACGGTTCCAGGAAAAAATACTATGAAGGGCGGGGAGGAACGAGGAAGAGAGTGACCTGTTTTTAAATAAATTTTATTGGTATATGAAGGACTTCTATACACTGTGAATGTCTGTGTGTTACAGAAAGTGGGTTTTT